GTTTGCTTTTCAAACCAGCACAACTGCCAAATAACAGAAAACACAAACTCATAAGGAGGTTTTACTAGTTCAGTCTCTATTCAAATTTCTTTCCATCCTTCCAACCTGTATGTACTTACTAACCTGCAAAATTAATTAGCCAGGTGGAAAATCATCTTCCTGGTTACCAAGTAAAAGAAACCTTTGATAGAATCACAGAATTTAAGGGTTGGAATGGACATTATGGATCATCTAGTCCCAATCCCCTGCCCTGGGCAGGAACATTTCTCACCACACCAGGCTGCTCAAGGTTTCAGCCAACCTGGCTGTGAACACTGCCAGGGTTGCTCCATCTCAGGTGCATAACATCCATGACTTATTTACTCCAAATTCCATACATTATAAACAAAACAGTTCTATAGTCTCACTATGGAAACACCCTCCCATAAGATTACAGGGGACAAAAATCTAATCTTCAAATGCAGGACACTCACTCTCCAGAAGAGGTTCTAAGACAAAACTGACTAGAACTGCAGGCAACTAGAACTCAGTGGTGCTTCTGCTTTTTCCCCTGCCTATGCTGACTATGAAAATGCTGCTCCTAACTCCCCAAACGTTTGGCTACTCTTTATTTTTGGAGCTTAACGTATCCAATTTAAGTTCAAATTTATATCCTGTGTTTTATTATGTTGCTTGATTACATGACATTATCATACATGCACAGACATTATCTGCCAGTCCAAACCAGTTCTGTTCACATTGTGTCTCGAGATAAGAACAACGGTCAGAACTCATCTCAAACTTCTCCATTCCAGCACTTTTTTGCACTTGGCTAAAATACAGTGTCCCAAAAGATACTTTTAGAACATTCCTGGCCTTTATACTTAAAGACAAGCTACACTGACAAGAAGATCATATATGGGATGACAAACCACCACTGAACTTTCCCTGCAGTGTTAAGACAATCATAAGCCACAGCAAATCTACAGTTTCTTGCTGAGTATAATTATATGTATTACTTAAGAAGAGCTTTACAAAAAAAGGATGCTGAGAAAGCAGTTTAAAGCCAGTATAACTAAATAAACTAATAATCAATAATAAACTAATAATAACTAAAAATCATGAGATAGAGAGTAGCACTAAAAATTGTGTTCTTACCTTTTCCAGGACTTAGGTTTTGGTCTATAAACACCTTAAGCTCTCCATTGGCTTCAATTAGTCCAGCCTGTTAGAGAAAGGAGCTTGGATTAAATTTACAAACACAGACACAGCCTTTTGTTGTCAAGGATGCAAGATATCACACCAGAAGCCTCTACTGCCACCACTTGCATTTTGTCACACATTTGCCCCAACGTCATGGCACTGTTTGTGGTGAATTAATTGTCCAGTTTGAAAGTCTTGCCCTTATAAATATCATCTTCTTAAAAAGCAAGCAGAAAACCAGTTTACAGCTACTTCGCTGGTTTGTGTCCTAAAGTCTTATAGTGCACATGCTGAATAGCCTTCTGAGCTGAACCCTGACACCTGTGACTACACCTTTCCCTGGGCAGATACTATTTAACTACCACAAAAGCTAACAATCATAGAATCACAGAGTTTTAGGGAGTGGAATGGATCTTAGAGATCATCCAGCCCCAACCCCCTGTCCTGGGCAGGGACACCTCCCACCACACCAGGTTGCTCAAGGCTTCATCCAACCTGGCTCTGAACACTGCCAGGGTTGGGGCAGCCACAGCCTCCCTGGGCAACCTGGGCCAGTGTCTCACCACCCTCACAGGGAAAACTGCCTAAAATCTAACCTAAATTTCCCCTCCTTCAATTTGTGCCCATTGCCCCTTGTCCTGTCCCTGCAGCTCCTAACACAGAGTCCCTCTGCAGCTTCCCTGGAGCCCCTTCAGCTCCTGGAAGGTGCTCTGAGGTCTCCACACAACCTTCTCTTCTCCAGGCTGAACAGTCCCAACTCCCTCAGCCTGTCCTCACAGGGGAGATGCTCCAGTGCTCTTAGCAACTTCGTGGCCTCCTATGCACTTGCTCCAACAGTTCCATGTCCTTCCTACACTGAGGGCCCCAGAACTGTGTGCAGTATTCCAGGTGGGTCTCACCAGAGCAGAGCAGAGGGGGAACTCAACATTATAGACAACATTATATCAAAAACAGGATAGGGGGTAGAAAGTGCCTCAGGCCATTTTAATCAGAAAAAAAAAGGTTAATTAAGAAGAAACACCTTGAGCTTTTCAATTACTGCTTCTTTAAAGACCAGAATATAAAGCTCTTAAGGGAAA